AAAAAACGCAAAGGAAGCTGCTGACTTCCAAAATTTTATAGTTTGCGTTGAGATGCTTATTGCTGCTGTGGGTCATCTTTATGCATTTCCATATAAAGAATATGCTGGTGCAAATATCGGTGGCTCTCGCGGGTTTACTGGAAGCCTTGCACATGCTTTAAAGTTAAATGATTTCTACCATGACACAGTCCACCAGGTGGTCTTGCAATCATGCTCATTTTCTACCCTGGTCATGCGATCCTTTGGAGTACCATTATTTCCTTTTATCCTGTCCTTACAGTTGTTTTCTTGTTTCCTTCATACAGTTTGCACCAACTTATCACGATTATGTGCTCTACAACAGCAGTGAGGGCGATGAGGGAGCGAAGAAGTATCGGTCGCGGACTTTTGTTCCGACTGGCGCAGAGATGGATACTGTTAGACGAAACAAGCACATGTTTGGAAACAAGTTGGATGATACCCCAACCTCTAGTCTCTCTTCTTCTAGTAGTGGCAGTCCCCAAAACCCTGGCACAGCTTCTGATGCTGCAAAATCTGAGGCAATGACCTCTTCCTTGCTAATTGATGCCTCAAGTTCTCTTTCTGTGCCCTATGACCTATCACTCATTGAAATAGACATGTCCAATTACTCGGAAAAGGTACCTGCAGCTAATGAAGCTGGGACTAAGTGAAAATAATGAATGATGTGCCACTGCTAGAAATCTGGTCTTGTAGCTATTTTTCTCTTCGGGGAAATCCAATGAAATTTGAATGATAGATGACACATCGAGAAATGTATGCTATTTCTGCCTTGAGAAAAACTTTAGTTCCGCACTTGTCTGACTTTTAGGCTTTGTACATTTAGGCAAATAGGTTCTTCCTTCTTTTTCACAGTTGTCTTTAATGGTCTTTGTTCAGTGTTATACCCCACTTAGCCATTTGTATTGGAGATACTAAAGTTTGTGGTGTTTGCTCATTTATAGTGAATTCAAAATCGTGATATTAAGATGAACAAAAAATCCCTGTTTCGGACTTGGTTTCTCTGGAGTTTTGTATGGCAGTTCGTAACGTAGCAACTTCTTGTGGTCTGCCATATCATGGGTTGGAATGAATGGCCCCTTTAACTTACTGAAGAGGAAGTACCTTTCTCTCTGGTTTTGGTTTCTCTGGAGTGTCTGTAGGATAGTTTGTGACGCATTAACATCTTGTGGTATGCCATATCATGAATTTGAATGAATGACCCTTTGATTTGCTGAAGAGGAAGCCCCCCCTACCCCTACCCCGTACCCCCCTTCTTTTTTTGTTTCTTGAAGTGATGAATATGAGGCTTCGGACATGTTTTCTGCTTTGTATTGTTAGTAATATGATAATTTTTACAAGTTTTTCTTAATCACCAAGTTGTGTTTTCCCTTTTGGAATGTGGAAGAGAGGGATTTGGATCCCTTTCTGTACATTTTTATTTGAGAAAAAAATTGGACAATGCGCATTGGTAGTGCATTGGATCCCATTGAATTCGAGGTGGGTGATTTTCAATTGAGAAAAATGAAGCAAAAGTGTATCGGAGAGCACTGAAATTTGAGACAAGCGAAGTATAGGGAGAGAGAGAGAGAGAGAGAGAGAGGTGAGCAGCTTGAGTTAGTTGTGGTTGAGAGAGAGAGGCTCAGCCATACAAACGTAATACCCCTTAGTATATATATTAGAAAAATCGTCAATATTTGTTTGATAACGGAAAGTTGTCTCAATCGCTTAATCTTTAAACTTTTGAACTCTTATTTGCAATACAAGCTTGTTCCATGCATATTCACCTCAAACCACGCGCATTTGCCAAATTTGTATTTTATACGGCCAAGAGATATAGATTTTTACGTTTTTATCCTTTTTTTTTGACCCATGTTGAGTTAATTATATGCTAATCTTCAAAGAATGTAGGACAAGATTTTGCATGACTCAAGGCAATTAGTTTATCTGAAACTTACTTTATAAGTACACATAACACGACTTTATCAAATCTAAATCTTACATAGCAAGCCACATGCAATGTAAGGTGTCGTTACATCTTTATTAATGCTTTGCTTCTACAACTCTTTTTTTTAAGTTTTTCTCATCTGTCTCACTCTGTTGTTGCTTTAGAATCCTGCTTTCTTAGTTGGTTCTCTCTCAAATTCTTCCACCAGCAATGAAGTCTAATTGATCTGACGACATGGGGTGGAGCCAAGCCCGCAACAGATAGGGTTGACAATAATAGGTCATGTTGCGTAGAGTGTTTTAAGCCCTGTGGAAAATCGCCACGACTTATATATATATTTGGCAAACTTAAAACCCATTAAAGTTAAAATCTTACCAAGTTTCTTTTAAGGCCAATCTTGCCAATTGAATTTTTTATTCATAAAGAAGGGTCTGATTGTTGGTTGTTTCAACGAATCTTCATAGGAATGTTGGAAGTACCATTCCAACGGCTGGCCCCGGCCTTGTTTCCCAAAAAAAAAAAGGGTTAATAGCATATTTACAGTATTTTCATTTTATTAATTCAGTTCTCATTGTATTAATTTTATCAATTTAGTCTCTAAAGTTTCAATTCGTGTCACGTAGATCCTTAATTCAAACAGTATTATGTGCCCAACACGTGATCGTTCTGTCAAAAACTTAATAGTCCGTCTTTATAGGGATTATTTAAACATAAATTGAATATTTTAGGGACTAAATTGATATTTTAGAGACCAAACGGATAAAATATGTATATTTTAGGGACCAAAAATGTATTAATTAAAAAAAAAAAAAAGAATGATTGAACAACATTTTGTAATTATTATTGTTAAAAATGCTTTGGATTAATGTAAAATTGAACAATTTACAGGCTTTAAGTCTTACTTACCCAAAAAAATAAAAAAAAAAAATTTTGTTTTATTTAAAGTGATATTTGCTCCACTAAAAAAGTTTTTTAGAGGGTTCCTAAAAAATTACTTCCAAAATATAATAAAATAATTTTGTAGATAACAATTTTGAAGAATTTTCTCCATTACGACCAACTGCTTTGAAACTAAGCATCGAATTTAATAATTAATATGTTGTTGAGTTGAGGACTTTCTTGTATAGTCATCAACAATAACATGAAATATCACCAGAAATCGTCACCATGAAAAATAATTATCTGACTGACAGTTAAATTCTAACAGTCATAGAATTATTTTTACACTACATGGATCTCGATGGCACGATTTGTACACGCTACGTGCAATTGCGATACAATCACTCTTACCTCTTAAATTATTTCAAGTACCTCTAAAATTCAATTGTATATATATCCTTAAATTTTTTTACCATGGGATTCACTTTACACAACATAATAAAAATTAATATTTATAGTATCGATCGACATTAATACGAGTCGACAATTATATTCGACTTGACATTTTTTAATATGATACCGTTTTACGTCACATATAAATTTCGAGTAGCATATAACTTAGCCGAGCTATTCTGGATGTTTTCAAGTCAATTTTGAGTCACCAAATTAACTAATACTAGTATGCGGAGCTTTGATATGACTTGAATTTTTGCTATCTCTAACTTCTTCTACGGAGTTGTGTTGCTTGATATTATTCAAAAAATTGATCAAAAAGAGTGAACGTAGATGATTCGGTAGCACTAGAAAAGGAGGAGTTGGGAAGCTATCTCTTCCAAAATACAAACTTTATCCTTGATTGTGCGATTCGAAATTAGGATTTTCTCTAGCCTCATTGGTGAACGAACAAAGACCGCAAAGAGCTCCTTTTTGTTTATTCAAATTGTCAAGGTAACTACAACTTTTGCCTTCTTTTTCTTCACTCCTTCGAGAAAAGTAATAGTATAAATCTATGAAGTACGAATATTTCGTTGATATTGACGTACTCGTATCCGATACAATATTAAATACGATACTCATTGAATACTCAAAGATATATATCGAATACATTTTCGATGTATCCAATAATAATTAAATATTAGGATATTTTACGGATACTTTTGTGATTGACCAACATATATAATTTTTAAGTTAAATTTTTAACATTTTTTTCGAATTCACATACCATACAGTACATTAACAAAAAATTCATATTACTTTAAAGGCACATAAGTGTTTCTTAAATATTATTTACAATTACATGCCAAAAGAATATAAAATAAAGCTATTATTTTATTATTTTAGCAAAAATTACTTCTAAATACTAGGTAAATATTAGCGTTTTGATTCCTTTAATTATTCACTTCATTTTGTGAATATATTACAACGATATGATATATATTTTCTTAAAACTAAAAAAAATTATTAATTTTCCTTATTGTATATTACAGAACTATCAAAATATATAAGTATTAAAATGGTTAAAAATAATAAATATATTTTATTATAGTCATATCTTGGCTATACTCGTATCCTACTTTTTTAAATTTTGTCGTATCACCGTATCGTATCTGTATTCGTGCTTCATACGTACTAATTGAGTTATATTCTCTATTGTTTTATTGACCCACCCTTCTAATAGATTAATAAACCAAAATAATGACTCAACGCAAATTGATAGCTTTAAATGTATCAAACTTGGGTTACATAATATTAATTAAATTTTTCTAAAGTATTTAAATTATAATTACTTATGCATAATAAATAATTACTACATTGTAATTATATAACCGTCTTAGACTATTCCATGTTATGAGAAAAATCAAAAATATAAAGTCAAAAGTAAATGGCTGCTTGCTCCCCACGTCCCAATTAACATGACTCATAACAAATGAAACCCACAAAAGTCACGTGACCGCCCCAACTGCCCACGTCCACGTATCATATCGTAACCCCACGCACCCCCATAAGGAAGAAAAAATGCTACCTCTAAGGCGGCGCGCTGGTCGTAAAATCCCAGGTGCGTCCCTAACACACTGGCCAACTTGCAACACGCAGGAGGAGAGAGACATCCAAAAGCCTCAAAAACCACTCTTATATATTCCCTTCTCTCTCCCCCTCCATTCCAATCCAACTCCCTCTCTCTCTCTCTCTCTCTCCTCTTTTTCTCTGCACATAGAGAGATATGGCTGTGAATCAACTAGGCCTGGTTGTTCCAATATTTAGGAGTAGTGAGATGGGGTATACAGACATGGAGAAGAGGCAGTTGTTTCTGAGAAGCTACCAGTTTAGCAGGAAGCAGAGTGTAACAGAGAGGATGAAGAAGTCTTTCTTCAGAGTTAAACGGGTCATCTGGGTCAGACTCAGATCCGCCAGGAAGATCCGGAAGATGGTGTGGTTCAGGTTCAGAAATGGGTTGTTTTTCAACAATAGGAGAAAAAAGTTTTTCCTTCGCCTTCAGAACCACCATAACTATGGTGGGTCAACTGGCCTTTCTTGGCCTTCTTCTTGTTTCTGGTAGGAACTTTTCTTTTTACTTTTTTATTCTTTTTTTTTTAATGGAATTTATGTAGTAGGAAGACAAAAGGGCTGGAGTCTTATAAGGAGTGTTTCAATCTGTCTATCAGTTCATGCCCAAATCTTACAACAAAGCTCTAGAGGCTATTATATCTTTACTACAATTAATGTGTTTGTTCATATAACATGACATGATTTTAGTATTGCAAAAGTACTAAGCACCGCCTTTTGTTTTTGTTTTTGGGTTTTTTTTTTCCTGTATGTTTTGCCAATATCTAGAATGTTATTTGTTTAAATTCTATGTCAGGACACTTCTAGAATAAGTCAAGTATGAACTCTCTAGGAGAGTAGGACTAACAAATAAGTTCAGATAACTTGACTATTGATATTTGCTATTGGTTGGAGTTCACAGGATATGAGGTTCGAGTCAAGAAATCAATCTCTATCTCCAAGTGTAAGTTTGTCAATCGCCAATGTTGCAATTGACCACTTACGGAGTATTTTTTTGGTAATATTTTTCGGTTTAACACCAACAATATAGAACTCAAAGTGATCTTAAAAATGAAGTGGTAGATAAGATAGTTGAAAGGTAATGTCTGCGGAAGGCTGTTGATTGAAAGGGGGCAACAGAGGATTGGCAATTTTCTTATATAGTTTGCTAGTAAAAAAGTATATTATTTTTTGGGCAGTTAGAAATATCATTTCTAAGTATACCTTCAAACAATTAGTAATTTTTGATGGACTTAGCATTTTCAATCAAATGTAATTATAATGGGTATGTATTCATAAATATAGAAAATACTTGTTGTCTTGTTTGTGAAAGGAATTCAATGTAATATATAAAGAAAAACCATAATATCCAATAAATCGCCTTGTGAATATGGGAAAGTAATTAAGTTTAGGGATTTGGTGGGTGATTTTTCTTTCTTTTCGTATATATTTTTTCATTTTTTTGGGAGGGGGAGGAGGATTTGAACACATGTCCTAAAAAAGATAATTTTTTTACAAAGTAAGAAGTACTATTTGATCAAAGATGTATTAGTTCTTTCTATATTTATGGTGTGTGATTTATTAATGAAACAAATTAAAGAAAAAGATGTTAAAAAGGTCAAAAACGTACCCTTTTACTCGGTTGGGGTTGGGGTGTCGTGGTGAGTATTTTGAGATTCCGTTTTTGATGTAATAAAATAAAAAATAAAAAAAAGTACTTTTACCTCTTTAATTACGACGTTGGTCTCTCTTTGCCAATTGAATTCTTGTATTTACAGCATTACTTTTTAACTAGAATCTAAGATACAAAATAAAAAAATTTCTCATATTTGTAATAAAAGTTAATTTTTTTTTGGGTTAAGTAGTAATGAAAGTTAATTACTAAATCATTGTGAAATTAGTGTAGCTAAAAATGCAACGTGAAACCGATGGTAGTCAGAGGAATTATGTGAGAAAAGAATCATACTTGAGAGATTTATAATATAAAATAAGATATTCTTTAATAAGTTTATCTAACGGTTTCAAATACATTCATTCAACGGTTACTAATATTTTTCTTAAAATTATTCATATTACACCGTATTTTTGAACACGAGTTACCCTGATTAAAATATAATTCATCCAACAACAACAGAATGAGATATATGCCAACTATTGTACAGTTGTTTAGTTTGGGCCATGGGGCTTGTGCAAACTTCGAGGCTTCATTGTTTAATTGCATGAACTCATCACCTTTGCTTGGGAAAGCTGCAATGGTAGAGGCGTGAGGGAACACTCACCCCTTTTCTTTGGGAAGAAAAATTAATAGGAAACCAAATTCATTGCATGTCTGGGTACAACTTTAAAGACACAATTGGGCTGTAAACACAGCATGGGGCTGCTGGAAAGGTTCAGTACTATTCAAACCAGCAAGTTTGAATACTCCTTGTTTTTGATCCCAGCAAGTTTGAATTGAAAGATGGGAAAGAGAGAAAGAACAAATGCATTAGGAATCGTTAGCTTTGACTTTTGCTTTATGCATACAGGTGCAGCTGTTTAAAGTTGAAGGCATCTTCAATAAAGGGTAGCCAGAATGCAATCATCTTTCTTTCTTTCATGAAAGTCCATCTTTAAATATCAAGGTTAACCTAACAGAGTTACAGACAGAGATAGGGATGAGTATAAATTTAGATATTTTGAGTTCAAAATTTTATAATTCTTTTGGGATCAGGGCACGAGAGATTTGTCTCTCATGAATTTCTTAGTTTTGACATAAATCACCTATATTTGACTGGACTGTAGAGAGAATAATTAATCGAAGTACACATAAACTGGTCTGAGTACTCTTGATTGTAATTAAAAAAACAAAAGAATTAAAGAAAAAGAAAGTCCATGTTTTTCAGCAACATTTGCAAACAACCCCTTTACTTTTTTTTGGTTGACAATAAAATCTCACAAATTAGTAGGCAGATAAAAATGGAGAGAAATAAATGCTTTAGGAATCGTTAGCTCTGACTTTTACTTTTTAGCACTTACATGTGTGTGTGTGACACTTTTACTTTTTTGCATACAATGCCTCTGTTCCAAGTTGAATGCGCATTAAATCCACAATGCTACCCTTTGTTGAAATACCACAAGTGACCTCATTTTTTCTAATAAAATGTTACCAATTGTTTTGGATCAACGGTCCCTATGAAATCAAAGAAAGATCAAAGGGTTGACATATTTTTTAGTATAATATCAAAAATTAAGGATAAATATCAATCACACTCCCTGATATTTAGTTTTCTTACATGGTCACCCACTCAAATTTTAAAAATGACATTGAGACCCCAATAGATGAATGCCGTTAACAATATTATTAAAAAGACTATTTTACCTTTGATTAATTGATCAAATCCATGCTCAGATCCAAACCCATCGTCCCGTGACCCACGACCCAAGACCCTCTATGCCCAAAGCCCCAGTAATTAAGCACCACCTATTTTTCCTCTTTCCTGGCACCACCCACAACCTCCACTGTTCACAATTACCATCATATCTCTCTCTATCTCTCTGTGCACATAGTCTGCCACAAATTTCTAATGCCATTGGCGGTGTTGGTGCATGATTGGATTTTTGCAATTCATCTCTCAAATTGAATTTATTATTGATTTTTGTGATTGAAATTTTGATGGTGAAATAATGGGTGGTTGTGAAGGTTGCCGACGAAACTTGCTCAAATAGATTGTAGATCACATATTGTGTATGTGTGTGTTTTTATAAATGGGAAAGGGGGGGGGGGGGGGAGAAATGTTGTGCACTGCGTAGTTAGGGTGGTGGTGGGGATATTTTGGTATTTTAAGAATTATTATTAATGACATCAGATTTGACGGTTAACAATTTTAACGCTTGTTAGTTGGAGGGGTGTGACTATTACAAGTTATAAATGTCAAGGGCAGTCGGTGTTATTTTAAAATATGAGTGAATGTCCGTGTAATAAAATCAAATATTAGAGAGCATGAGTGATATTTACCCAAAATTAAATTTCGGTTCCATAACACTGTCCTTCTTTGCACTCATGAACTCCATGTTGCCTCAACTACATTTGCCACCTACCCCTACCAATACTCTTTTGTTCAAGATACTGATCTTAGTAAGTATCTTAGGTCAAAGGCATAATGAGATTGCATTCATGAATTCGCTTTTTAATCATTTGGAACCCAGAAAATAGTATATTACGTGACATTAGAATTTTTATGATTTTTCTCTTCAAGTTTTTAATAAAATTAGTCACATTACGCGTTTTGATAGACTGTATTATTTTTTCCATGTAAGGGCCCTCTAGGTAGCCACTTCACTGGCTTTGGGTAACCCTAGTTTCGACAATTAAATCCTACTAGATATTTTGAAAAAAACAATTCTCAAAAAGAAAATAGTTGGGCAAATAGAGTAAATAGAAAGACTCCTATTATGGCTTCTTATCCAAAACTATATGGCTATGACATTTTTGACAAATAAAAGTATCTTGATTGCCTGGTGTAGTTGTTAAAGTATTGGGTTAATAACTTTGAGGTTTTGGGTTTGAATTCAAGAGAAGTTACTTAATTCAAATCATCTTGAATATTAGATCTATACTAATTCATTCTCGGTTTTTGATTATCTTCAACATATTTTCTCTCAATTCTTGCACTTATAAATCAGACACTTCGGATAAGTGGGAATCTACTATATATAATGAGTTTCACGTGTATTCGATAAGTTATCTATCATCAAGAGAAATTGAATAAAAATATATTTGAGGGGATTTAAATACCGCTATATAAGTAGGATAATGACCCTTGTGTAGGAAATAAACTACACTAAAAATGTTATTCCATAGAATAAAATTACACTCTTTCTTTCAAAGGAAAAAGTGTATCAGATAGGTTGTTTGTTAGACATGTTGCTTCTCTCATAGTTAATTGGAAACTTGCAAACCCTGGTCACTGTGGATAAGTAAGATGCAAGACTAGTACCTTCTGTTTGACTTTCATATTGCACATCTGTGCACTCAATGACGAAAAACCTTTGTTTTTTTGGTAGTTGAGAAGTAAACTCTGAGCTAACTGTTCACATGTTATAGTCAGGGTAAGGTTGGCAGATTTGTTTAATTGTATATTCACAATCACAACAATTGTTGTTCGATTCACTAAAGACTGCAACTTCCTTACGGAAATGAAGATTTTGGTTTGTTTTCTATGTGATAAGATCCTTGGAACAAAACCTTTTTGAAGATTGCTTGAATGCGAAAGTCTCGGGGACATGACCAAAATTTTGTCTTGAGGATGTTCAAATCCAACATATACTTTCACAAACAACGTAAACTAAGTCTAGACTTTGTGGATTCAAATTTGCGGGGTGTATAAACAAATTTCAACAACTTTTTTCTTTTCTATATAGACAATAAAAATGTTTTGTGAAAAAAAACCATCACTCCATTATGTTTTCAAGCTCAATACTTATGATAGTCATAACCAAAAAAAGAAAATATGAAGTTGAAGTAAAAATAAGAATTGTAAGTAGAAATCATTGTAGCAAAAAAATGGAAAGTATAGGCATAGATTTAACCAATTTACTAAAAAATGGTAGGCTTTTTTGATTTAGCAACTGAATATTTTAATGAAAGAATCAAAAGGGATGACAATCTAAATGATCATACCAATAGGAGAATATTTTATTGAGAGGGTCAGAGGTAGGTGTATGAAAAACTAAAGGCACTTAACTATAAAAATTTTCATGAGGTCAATATGCATGTGTGAGAAGTGAAGCTATGTCTTTAAGTATTATTACTAGTTATAATTCAAGAGGTTTTCAAAGTGTAGGGGCGCATGGCTGCTTTCTTCCGTCATTAACTGCCTCGAGGTTAAAGTTACGGTCCCGATTAATCGATGCATGTAATTTATGAGTGACAGCGTGGTTTCAAAATTTGCAGTGCAACTTCTTGTCCAACAAATACACGATTGCAAAAATTTTGTGTTTTTGAAGAAACAGAACATTTCGAAACAAATAGGTATTGAGTTGTTCAATTTGTAAGCATCTGCGATGCTATTTACATACTTTAAGCAAAATTGAACTTGTATGCTTGTTTGACTTTGTATTGGATCTCAAATGGCATAATATGGGGTCAACTATTATAGAGATATGCCAGCGTATATAATTAAGAGTTAATAACATTTTTGTTCTTTAAAGTATGTATTTTTTGTCAATTTAGTCCTCATTTAATCAATTTGTCAATTTCGTCCCTAAAATATTTAATTTGTGTCACTTTGGTCCCTACTTAGATGGACCGTTAAATTTTTTGACGGAATAATCATGTGTTGGGCACGTGATACTATCTAGAAAAATGACATGGGATCAACTAATAGAATTGATGAAAATAACGAAATAACCACCTTACCCTTCAATCAATGTTAAATAAAACCTAAGTTAGCTTAAACTACGCAACCTGATCTGACCATATCCCCGACCTTATCCTTGCAAAATACCATTTTTTTTTTTGCTTCTGCATCCATCTTTTTTTCCCTCCCTGATTATATTGGCAATCACCCACCCCTGAACACCCCCTTTCTCCTTCTTTCTAGTTCCCCACACTCACATCCCCACTCCATACTCACTGCCTCATTCTCCCCCTTTCTCCATCTTTCAAGTTCCTCCCCCCCCCCTCCCAAAACCCTATCCTTGCCACCCCACTTCTTCCCACCTTCCCCCCATTGGTCCTTAGACAAATTTTCCTATAACCATCCCTTTCCCCTTGTGGAGAATCCCTAAGATTGGAGCCTTTTTGGATACTTAATCCAAGTTGAGAGGAGAGTAGGGCATACCTATCTCTAAAACAATTCCTGTAATACCCAAGGTAAAAGAAAATGAAAAATTAATAATAATAATAAAAATAAAAGTGAATAAGTTCAACTTGAGAAATTTTAAACTTTTGTTTGACTTGGGGTCTGTCCTTATAGGCTTATGGATATGATTTGAAAATCAATGAAGATAATTAGTTTTTTTTTTTTGTAAGGGGGAATATCAGATAATTATAGATGCTTAGTCGGATAGAGTTTTAGAATTTTAGAATTGGTCGAACACTAATTTTTTTTTTTGCTAAAGGGACTTTAGTGTTACTAAGAATAGTTGACTGTTACACCTTATATGTAATTGAATGGCTACCATAGGTTGCCTTGCCTCATATTTTATTAATATTATTTGGGCTAGAAGGAATAGAATAGGCGGCGAGAGAGAGAGAGAGAGGAGGGAGGAGGAGGGAGGGGGGGGGGGAGAGGGAGAGGGAAGGAAGGGAAAAACAAAAAGGGTTGAATCTATTAAAAGTAATAATTGATTACTTGTCTTATGAGTTTTATATTTTTATTTAATTAGATGGTATATGGTTTATATATATATGAGTCTCGTGGTAACTTGTTGATTATTAAAGTTATTAGGTTAAATTTTAAGTTTATAGTTGTTTGGACTTGATTGAGTTTAATCAACGTTGGGAAGAAAAAAAAGAGGATAGGGATTTAACTTGTTAAAGTTGCAGGGGAATGAAATTGGGATATAGGTAGAAGAAGATCAAATTCATA